TGGCACATGCATACAGTGGAATGCTCCTGAATACATGGGCAGATCAAATACAGCATATAGTGCCACCGAATGTCATTCAGCTTGAAGAAGAAGGAACTCCTGGCACATGCTCAAAGACACTGTGCTATGTGAAATAAACCAGCCACAAAGAGACAAATCCTGCATGATCCCACCTATATGTTGTACCTGACATTGCCACACACACACACACACACACACTATTAGGCAGTGAAGCTGGGTATGAAGACACATGACCTGTAGTCCCAGTATTTGGAAAGAGGGGCAGGAATTCAGGGTCACCTTTGGCAACCTGGAAACCCTGAGGACAGCTTGGGTGGCATGAGATTCTATCTCAAAGTCAGGGTGAGCTTAAGGAGGGGGCAGAAAGGTAGAATTATGGTTGCTGGAGTTGGGTGCCAGAGGGGTGTTGTCAATTGGTATACAGCTTGAATTTTGCAATTTACAAAGGTTCTAGAGGTCTGATGCCCAACATATGAGTGTAGTTATCGATGAAAACCACATCCTTCAACATAATGAAGATGGAAAGTTTTATACGGCTTTGAGTACAATGCTCAAAATAATATTTTTTCCTAATGCCACATTCTTTCCTGCCTACTGGCCTTTGCTGTCCTTTCTGCCTGGAACATTCTCTCCCTTGTTTTTCACATGGCTGGAGTCTTTCATACTTTTAGTCAGCTGAGATGTTTCCTACTTAGAGGTATCTCCCTCAGAAAAGCTTTTTTTTTCTTTTCTTTTTCCTCTCTGGTATTACCATCAATCATTTCTTTCCCTGTTTTCTAAATATTTGTAGCAATATGTGATTAGTCAATGTATTTATTTCTGCTGATCTACTGGAGTACGTGAAGGGACCAGTCCTGCAGACTGAAAGCTGCAGGATCTCCAGGACACAGGGCAACAACAGGATATCCAAGAGCAGTCCCAGTGAGGGCCCAGCATCGATAATGTAGTTCAGAGGCCTGAACCAGACCAAAGACTCTTTGCAATGAACACTTGCAAGTAAAGATGTGAGACTCACTGTATCACACAGCTTCCATGATGAGATAGCCCCCCCCTTTTCTTTTTTCTTTTCTTTTCTCTCTTAAATTTTATTGGGGGCAGCACTACAAGGGCAGAAGGCAGATATATAAGAGCAGGAAATGAATGGGTTCAAGAAGCATGATGTGAAAGACACAAACAACAAATAAAAAGTTTTTTAAAAATCAAATAGTGCCACTCCCTGGTGACTAAGAATTCAAATATATGACCTTATGGGGGCCGTTCTTATTTGAAGCACCACAGAAAGGAATCTGTAATTCCAGTAAAATTTAAATTGGCAATGTGGATTCTATTCCTCCCTTGTTAACCAAAATACTTCTAAAAGATCAGTAGTGGCCTGGAATTCAATAAATTTAATTGTTTTTCTAGCATTTTATTTTCTCTTAAGTTTTGACACTAATAGCCACTCCTTTCCACTTCATGGGGGCAGAGGGAGAGCTTTGGGGATTAAACCCTGCTAGACAAGTCTCTACCATTCTCCCACACTCCACTATTTTTAATTTGTTTTCCTTTTTTTTTAAGTGTTAGGGCTAGACTCCAAACCCTGGAGCAGGTTAGCCAAGCATTCTCCCAGCCTTCTTTCTTTGTGTGCACGTGTTTTGTTTTGCATTGCTGAGGAAGTCCTTGCGATGCATTCTCAGACTGGTCTTATCTTTATTTATCATCCTTTGCCTCAGCCTCTCAAGTGCTGTGATTGGTTTCAGGTATGTAACCACCAAGCCCAGTTTGTCTTATTTAAACTGTCCTGTTTCAACTGCTCTGTACAAGTTTGATTATTGATGGCTATTCATTCTTTCACCCCAAATGCTAACAGTCTCTCTCTCTCTGTGTCTCTGTCTCTTTCTCTCTGGGGCTTTTCGAGACAGGGTTTCTCTATGTAACAGTCCTAATTGTCCTGAAACATACTTTGTAGACCCGGCTGGCCTCGAACTCACTGAGATCCACCTGCCTCTGCCTCCCAAATTCTGGGATTAAAGGCTAAAGGCGTGTGCCACCAACACCCAGTGACACTCATTCTCTTAATTGCTGCCCTTTTCCTTTGCTGGGATTTGGATATGGATTGGGTATGCTTCACAGGAGTTCTGTGTTAGTCCTCAGAACAACAATGCTGGAAGGCACTGGAACCTTTAAGAAGTGAAGCTTAGTGTAAGGTAATTAGATCATCAGAAGTATCAGGATGATGGAGGAGACTAAGAAGCCAGTTTCAAAATTAAGTTCCTGGGGGGTAGTGCCCTAGTGTTATAAGGAAGAACACTCGGTCCTCTTCACTGTGGATTTCTGTTTTGCCATGTAATCCCCATCTAGTATGTGTTCCTTCCATGAGGCCATCAGCTGTATGATGTAGAAAAGAGGACACTGACTACAGGCCAAACTGGTGGAGCTATTTGATATTGGAGTCCAACCTCCCAAATGTAGTTAAATGAATCTCTTATAAAATATCCAATTCTGACAGCTCAATGCAAAAATAGAAAATAGACATTCTTGTACATACTCTTCCTTGGTCACCTCTTCCTCGAGATGGCAGCTGGGAGGATCCCTGTGCTAAATAACTTTCTACACTTAAAAAAGAATAAAAGAGAGACTTCATGACGTTTTGTCTTCTACTACTATTCACTTGGTTGACAAGAGAAGTGGGAAGAGAAAGAGACCAAGACAGGGTTAGCAATGGCTGTCCTTCACAGCCAGACATCCTTCCTCTTGTAGCCATGACTTTTGTCATTTTCTGTCGAGCCTAATTTTCTGTCTTGCAGGGCTTGATTCATGACATTGTCCACCTGACTCCACTCCTTTTCAAATGTTGCTTAGTGTTACAGTTTGAATCTTAAATGTCCCCCAAAGATCCATGTATTGGACTTGGTCTTTTGCCTGCAATGCTATTCAGAGATAGTGGAGACTTCAGGAAATGGACTTAGTGGGAGGTTCTAGATCATTGGAGACATTGCCTTCAAGGGAATTGTGAGATCTGAGTCTCTTTGACTTTTTCTTTGGCCACCATGAAGTGATCAGTTTGCTCCTCAAACTGCCCCTTCTCATGATAATCTATCTCACTACAGGCCCCAAAGTAATGAGCCCAAGTTATTATGGACTAAAATCTCTGAAATTCATTAATCCAATTGACCTTTATTCTTTTTATGCTATCTCATGCTGTATTTGTTACTTCTGAAACACCACAATCAAATATAGAACTTACAGAAGAAATTTATTTGGGCTTACAGTTCCAGAGAGTTAAGAGTCCATGATGGCGAAGCAAAAGCATGAGAGCAGAAGCAGGAAGCTTGACCCACAAACACCAAGCAGAGAGCGCAAACTGGAAATGGTATGTGACTTCTGAAACCTCAGACCCCATCCCCAGTAACACACTTCCTCCAGCAGGGTCACACCTCTTAAACCTACCCCAACAGCAGCACCCACTCAAACACCTGAGTCTACAGGGGGAATTCTCATTCAAACTACTGCACGCAAGCATTTTATCATAGTAATGGAAAGCTAACACCCTCAATTTTGTGCTGCTGTATAAGACTGGATTGCTGTATAAGGAAGAGAGTATACAGTTCATTGTTTTCATATCCTTACCCTTTAAAAGAATGCCTGCCACATCTGTCTGAAAGATTAACCAGTCCACTTTGATATTGCACCCAAAACTAGCATTACCACTTTTCAGCAAGAAAGTAATGTTTGATCTCCAGCATACTAAAGCCTTCCAGATCGAGTGGGGTCACCACAAGACATTAAGCTTGAAAGATTGTTTCTATGTGCTTTAAGAACAAACTGGGGTCTGTGGCTTCCCCACCAACAGTGAGTGGATATGAAGACACAGTGCGATTGGTAATGAAAGGTCCCCAGACTATCTTACAAAAGATACAACTTTAATAAAACAGAAGGAAAAACTTACACCAGAATCCCACCCATCCGGATCGCTGGATCCAGGCCAGAGCGGGGTGGGGGGGGGGATGCACCCTCCAGATTTATAGATAAACTTTTGCCTTAGGGCAACACGCCCCACAGACAGAATGTGATTGGCTGAACTCCCCTATCATCTCCCTCTTTTTTCTAAAATAAGACAGAACAAAACCAAATACCACTATATACAACAGAAACAAATAATAAATATAAAATTACAAACAACAAACAATATTAAGCAAGAAGCATATAACAAATTCTATTTCAAGGAGTCTAAATAATATAGAGGGTAACTACAACTATCTAATCTTTAACTCCATCAAAGATCTGAGAAGGGAAATAATCTTACTCAAGCAGCCCGGAAGAACAAGCGGGAAACTTTCGAAATGTGCAACAAATGGAAGAGACAACTGAATACCTGGGCAATCACCCAAAGTCTCGTTTGTAATGTTGAGTCAACCAACTTTGGCTAAGGCCTGATGTAACTGACATGCCATTTTTCAAAGGCAAGAAATCTTTTAGGACTCTCTTACCCTGTCTTGGCAAGATAAGACAATCCTGCTTTTATACATTTACGGATATTCTGTAATTTTGTCAGTGTTTGAGGTATGGGCTTTTTCTTTGTCCAAAGGCCAGTTCTGCCAGGAAGAAGACATGCTCCAAGTGGAGTGCCTTTGGTACTCAACGTTCTCTCGGGAGTAGAGCGGTGATGCCAGGAGCGATTGTGTCTCACTACTATAGAACTATGAGTTAGATTAAAGGCCATTTTCTATAGCTCTTCGAAGAGGTTGAAGATTATACTATCTATACTAAGTATGATCTCTATGCACCTAAATAACCTGATTAGCCTAAATATAAATATAACATATATGACTATTGATTTCTATCTATCTAACTTGAAGACTAAGAGAATGAACAATTGTGCAATGAGTGAGGACAATGACCTCCAAATGTAAACAATGTATATCATTACATAAATATCTCAATCAGAGGTAGGAATATATGTATATATATCAATACAAATAGAGGTAGAAGCATATTCACATACAATATTTAATATATCAATGTACAGAAATCAACATCAATACAATTTTCTAAAAACAATAACTCACAAATACCAATATATTATTATCCCATCACCATGGATAGGCCACAGGAAGTTCACAGCATCCACTGCAAAAACAGACTGAGGTTCTGATGGAACACCTAGAGACAAAACGGAAAAAGCAATAGGCGAAACTAAGAGGATTCTATGTGGCAAACCAAAGAAAGACTACAAAAAGTCAGACGAAAATAACACCATGAATCAATAATCAAGAGCTTGCTCATCAGTTTGGAAGAAATCTGACACAGGGACCATTCCCAAAGAAATCCTAAACACTTGCATCTTGCTGTACTCTCTCCCCACCTTATTGAAAGTATTTAGATAAAGCCATGGGTACAGGATGAAAGCTGTGGTATTTAATGCTGGGTAGCTACCTCCTCCAAATTGGACCATTACACTTTGAAGGAAGAGGTTTATAAGATGTAAGAGGCTATAGAAAGCTCCAAGGCTTAGGAAGTTACAGGATTCACAAGGCCCCGAGGTTATAAGAGCAGTAAACAGCTGGTAGGAGGAGGCTCTCTGGTGGGCTCATCTGCAAGTTCCGCAAGGAGCTTCAGGGATGCAGCTTTCATGAGTCATCTCCCATGTCGTGGTTGGCTTTTTGGTGATACACTCTGCCTTTGAGTCACCCATGGTCCTGTAATTAACTCAATGAACTCTTCAGTTCACCAAAGTAGACTTGGGTAGAATTATTCTTTTGTCTGGTGCTAGTGCACCCATTTTGGGTAAACAGACATTTGGTCACATATCTCCAGGAAGTCATACATCATAGAAGAAAACTAGTTAGACGATGTGTTTATTCATGGAACGTTCTATACTCCCCAGGGGGCCGAAGCTGCTGTCTGGCCTGCTGTTGGACCACATTGCATTGTTCACCATGGCAATTGAACACAGCTCATAGAAATCATGTGCGTTAATCAAAACTTTTATAGTTTTTACATAATAAAATTGCTCTACTTACATACTGAGATAAAACATTATCTCTTATCTTTTACTGCTTCCACTTTGCATTAATTTTTAGCTATAAAGTTGGCAAATAGATTTTTACTATCTCTTTGTTTTATTAGTTGGCTTAGAAATGTTATTTTAAGTGTCAGAAATTTTCCTAAAGGAAATTAGGAATAATGTATCACAATACAACATTTTTAATAATAGTTTAATTTGCCTGTTGATTCTATTTTCTTTTTTATGTATGTAGACCAGACTAACCTGGAATACATCGAGATCTATCTGCCTTTCATCCCACGTGCAGTGATTAAAAGTATGTGCCACCAAGCCTACCTCCTATTTTTAAAGCCTTCTAACTACAGATATGTGATAACCACTGTGTCCCATTCTACTTTTGTGTGATTGTGGCATTTTAGCATGTTAATTCTATACTATTTTCAAGGATTTAGTAGTAGAATATCTGGAACATTCTTAATTTCTAATGCCGTGTCACTGCAATATATTCAACTTATCAATATATTTCCACAATTCAACATTTTTATTCCTCCTTTTAAAAAGTATAAACTGCTGGGCAGTAGTGAGGTATGCCTTTAATCCTGGCACTCGGGAGGCAGAGGCAGGCAGATTGGTGAGTCTGAGGCCTGCTTGGCCTACAGACAGAGTTTCAGGACAGTCAGTTGTAACAAGATGCCATGAGAGTCTGGTAAGGGTTTAGCCATTGACTAAAAGAATCAAAATCTCACAACAGTCAAGGCTACACAAAGAAACTCTCAGAGGGAGAGGGAGAGAGAGAGAGAGAGAGAGAGAGAGAGAGAGAGAGAGAGAGAGAG